ATTCGAATCGGAGCGTCCGGGTTTTTGGTGCATACATGGGAGGTGAGACTATCATCCAAATCCCATTCGACAAATTTTTGATTGGCTTTGGCTCGTTTCTCCCTCTGCTTTCGGGCCTTGAAGGCTTTGAAACGGAGCTGTTTCTTAGTGAGGGGTGGATCATCGGTAGGTGGTGTGTCTTTGGCGGCGGATTTGGCTTCGGGGGCAGGTTCGTCATCAGTGGCGGATTCATCGTCGGCGGGGGCTTCATCATCGGCTGCGGATTCATCATCGGTGGGGGCTTCATCATCGGCAGCGGATTCATCATCGGTGGCGGATTCATCTTCATCTTCAGTGTATTCATCATCGGTGGAGGATTCATCATCAGCAGTGGATTCTTCTTCTTCAGAGATGGTTTCTTCTGCGGAGAACTCTTCTTCGGCTGAGGATTCTTCTGCGGGGGATTCATCGGTAGGAGATTCTGGAGAGAGGTGTTGAAATCCACAAGGCAACTTGTGAGACATGGACGGTGCCTTGGCCTGCGAGTTGATTGAGGTGGTCATTTCGGCGGGGGTTGGAGTTTCGGCCGGGAATGTGGTTGATATGGGTAGAGGAATAGCCAATGAGTTGTCCACGATGACGTGACCTTTGGCTGGTGATCCCGTAAGAATGCCCACTTCACCATCCACCAAGGCCTGAGGGGGCTCATTCCCCTGAGTTAACGCAGGGCATCCAATCTCGATGTTTCGTACGCACTCAGGAGAATCTTGAGCCCCACACAGGAGACCTGTCCGTGCGGGAAGTCCAGCCTCTCTAGGCAGTGCAGGGCATCGCATCTGGATGTTTCGTACACAGCTAAGTGGGTTATGGTTCTTCACTGGACAGGCTCGGCAGATGTAAGGGGCACCTCGAGGGGTGTCACAGTACCTCCGGTTGTTGTCTTTGGTGAGGGTGATTCTGGACTTCTCGGTGGTGTATGGCGCAATTGTTGAACGGCGGAATTACAAGGAAATCTGGCCATTGTAGATGATCTG